AATCGCGTCCCACCACCAGATAAGACATCCAGTGATGGAGGTCAGCCGGTACCTGCGTCGTCCGTCTCCTCGCGCTCCCTCTCGGTGTAGCGGGTGATGACCTGGGCGATGAGTTGCCGGGCCGTGGAGTGGACGTTGGCCAGCAGGGAGCGGTAGTTGGCTCCGCTGGACAGGGCGTCACCATAGATCTTGATCAGCCCCGGGGCGGAGGAGGAGGCCGGGGGCAGGTAGTGGTGCGAGGACGGGGCGGCCGAGTGGGCCCACACCTCCCGCTCGCGCTCGCCCACCGCCCGGTCCCGGTCGCTGTTGGAGCGCCCCCGCAGGAAGAGGTGGGAAAGGCGCTTGGTGCGGGACTGGGGCCCGGCGGGCCGCGGCCGGAGGAAGGCCGGGGACGGGGACGGGGACGGGGCGGGGGACGCCAGCGAGGGGGTGGAGGTAGAAAGGGAAGAGGAAGGAGCGGAGGGGGCGTCGTGGAGGGAGGCGGCGTCCGAGCTGGTGGTCGACCTGCAAACAAGGAAGACGGACGGAGCGGAGAGGAAGCAGCAGTCAGCTGTGAGTTATGACGGACAAACAACAAGGACTAAAATAAAACAGGGGAAGGCTGCAGGGAGGATGTTAATGACACTGGAAGGCAGATAAGATTACTTCAACCCTCTGAAAGGGCTGTTATCTTCAAAAAAAAAAAAGTCACCAAAACAGCCCCTTTAATCAGCCAGAAACTGTAACGTCCAACTTCCCGACAGTCCCTGAACTAATCATGTGTGACGTGAGGTTCCGTTGGGATAAAAGTACCAACGCTGAATTTAAAATCCCACCAAAGTCACTTTATTCTACATGTTTCACTGAAAAAGTTGCACCAGATTCTTTAAACATTTAAAAAATCCTTCAGATATGTGACAAAACATTGTGAGTTTTTAGCTGAACTGCAGGTTACAGCAGAGAATGGAAGCTCATTTAGAAAGTCTTGACCAAAATGTGACCAGAAACCTGTTCAAAATTATAGATTTATCTAAAATAATCCCAACCGACTGGATCAATAAATAAATCCAGCATGGATCAGAACCACAGAACAGAGGAGCCAGCTGTTGGAGATACACCCAGCATGA